TCGCAGAACGCCGAAATAATTGAAACATTTTTCTCTTTGTACACCTTCTTCGATTTATGATCTTTTTACTTTTGTGAAGTGAGGCTTGATTGAAAGAAGAAGCTTGCCAGGTGCCTGATTTTCTGTGCCACAAGACCTGTGAAGCAACTGTGCCGTAAGATTTGTGCCGCAACTGTGCCGCAAGACCAACTAACAAAGAGGGCTTATGCACGTTCGCTTGCAGACGGCTCTCTTAGCGCTACTCATTTATGGCCGCCGATGTATTCACTCCTGAACCAGTAAACGTCATATGCAGAGACGTTATTAGATTTGTAATATTTCGGTTAAGAACGCAGATGGTTCGACCATGCTGAGGAGGTAGTTGGAATGTTCTAATAACACTTATGAAACCATGAAAAGAAAACAACATATCCGAAAAGATAATGGTGGTGATTAGATGAAGCATATTGATCATCCGTTGTTATCCTGAACAACCCGTGACATTGAGCACCACGCATGTAAATGAGTCTAAAATTAGTATACAGTTGGGTGCACGTTACAAAAACCCCAGGTGGTCGAAATTTCTAGAGCCCTCCACAATGTCATCCCTCATAATCATATGGTGGTTTTGGGACGTTCAACCCGACAGATCATTCAATCAAGCTGTATACAGTTATATATAATGTACAGGTCAGTCCGCTGTTAGAAGGAACGTGCGAGTGCGGGGCCTGCCCTCTGCGGTGGCTGCCTACTGCATCATCAGCCGACAGCTAAGCAAAACATGTTTGCTCTTGGCGTCGTCTGTTGCCAGCCAACATAACAATTCATGGCGGGTTGACAAGCGCTGCTAGATTACACTCTCTCACCGTTCGCGCAATTAGGGATGCTAGGCGATGCCTGCATCTTGCGCCGTCCTCGCGCACTTTGTTAATTTTTCGGCAGCAGACAATGCACTGCCGGCATCGGCCTTTGCGCGAGCGGAAAATGAGCGTTATCTAGGGGCGCTTGCCTAGCTGCCATAACTCGTTAGTGTGTTGGCAATAGATGGCGCCGAAAGCGAATGTGTTTTCCTCAGTAATGTCAAAATTTGGGCGAGTTCATTCAACTGTCGGTTGATGGTGCTATATGCAGCCCCCGCAGAGTGCAGGCCACCCGCTCACGAGCTCCATCTAAGAGTGAACCGACGTCTACGTTTCCTTGCCGCTCCTGCGCGAGCCCTCGCTGCCTCTGGGTCAACTTCTTGCCGGTACTTTCATCTACCTTCAGCTTCGCGACCTTTTGACTCCGTGTCCACTTGCGGCGCTTCAATTCTGCCGCCGTCGTTTCCGCAAAGTGTCTTCATTCATACAAGGCCGTGAGAGAGAGAGAGGAGCAAGCGCATTTATTATAAAAAGCAGTGCAGGGACAGTAGCAGTTTTTTATTGCGATAGCAAATATATGGTCTATCTCGGCGGAATTTCGCCACTGGCGTTGGTGTCAACGCCGACGTGGGCATCACCATCACTCACCGTACAAGTATATGTATACATATTGATAAGAAGTATCACTACCAGGCAAAACAAGGTAAGCGCGGGTAGAGAATGAAGGCAACATTGTCTTCATTCTCTACCCGCGATTCCCTTGTTTTTCCTGGTAGTGATACTTCAATGATAAGAAGTATCACTACCACGAAAAACAAGGGAAGCGCGGGTAGAGAATGAAGAAAACGTTGTCTTCATTTTCTACCCGTGCTTCCCTTGTTTTTCCTGGTAGTGATACTTCTGATCAATATCTATATATACGAAAACGCAAGAAAGCAAACAAAAAATCCTGAGAATCGTACGTGGCACCTCTGAGTTGTGAATGCAAGGCGCTAACAACTGAGCCACGGTGAAACACGTCCTTCAGCGTTAAAACAGCAAGCTATTTCTATCTACCACTCACCTCTGGTGACGAACATGTCGGAGGGGCGACTATGGTGTATTCGATATTACCAGCAAGATGACGCAGTGAGCGCGTGGTGGCGCGTGGTCTCTTTTCTCACGCGTATTTTACCCTACAGAGAGGAGAACGCTCGCGAGTGGACGCTCGCTCACGCACCCTTATCTTGCTGTGGGGTGGATCGTACGTCTTCGCTTGTCTGTGGCTTTCACCGGAATACTGTTGTGGTTACCGGGAACACAAAGATTACTGCAATTATTTCAGTTTCCGTTTGCGAAAAGAGCGCGCTCTTTCGACACAGCGAAGTAACAACTGGCATGCTCATTCGAGTTCAACTGTACCCGTGAGTACGTTTCGCGCGTTATTTGTGCCTGAGAAACGCGGGGAACTTTCCTATCTGCTTGTCATTCTGCACGTGACCTTCCAACTTGTTGGTATCATGTTCATTGCTTCGCCCTTGCGGCAAAGCTGTCGTTTTTTATTTCAAACCAGAGCACGCACTGGAGTGGAGCAAGTGAACTACCGCAGAGACATCCAGTAGGCGCTCTGAGTATTAGCGTATCATGGTGCGCAATGGGGAGACAAGTCCCGACCATAGGCTGGTTCGCATCTAAAAGCTCATACACATACTGAGCAAACAAAACAAACAAAAACGAAGAAACTAAGAAGAGTATCTCAAGAGCTTAGCCTCCTATCGAAAAGTGAGTGGACATAAGCTCATAAGTCGGGGTGTGTAATATGCAGGGGGATGCAAGGTGATGAGTGACAAACGATGTCTTCGAAGAGCGTTTTACTATCTTGTAAGGCTGACGCAACACAAGAAGTCTTGCATAAGCGAGGAACTAAATACAGGGGACGTCAGCGGCCATGCTAGGCCCGCAGATAAAACTACGCAGATACTGACGTCACCGTCTTCCAACATCACACACCAGTCTTGTAGGTATTTTACGCGCATATCACTCCAGCTGAAGCTCATGGCACAATAGAGATATTGAGCCCCAACAGAGGCTCTATATACAAAATGTTCACTGAAAAAAAAAAATAAAGACGTTAATAAGCCTACGACGGAAGTTCGCAGGCACAACCAAATCGCTCTCAAGAGCCTTAATGTTTATGAAGTAGACCCCCTACTCCCCTTCTTCGATCGCCTGGCAATAGGAGACCGTAAACTAAGCGTTCTGCCCTGCTAACCCTCTACCATTTGGTTATTAGGAAAGGCATGCTGTAGCAACATGATGTTAGCGATGGTAACAACAGCAACAGCATTGTGATAGCTGCGCAGCTACAGCGCTTAGCGATCCCATAGTGTGTGTATACTGATATATTGCTGTAAACATGTCTATCTGTGTGGTCTATCTGACCCAAGTCTGTCTGACCCAGATTTGAACTATTCTTCATCGAATTTATAAAGAGATCTATGTATGTGGTGAATTGGGGTACATTTCAGCTGAATAAGACGAAATGCGGCTGAAGTTAGCTGCCAGCTACATGTGGGGATCCAGCTTAAAGCTTTCACCATGACATGATACTGTGTCCAGCCGAATTGTTACCGCAATAGCGTGAAGGAGCTCGTTTTGCTGAAATGCCGACGAGGGCGTTGGTATCGGTGTTGGCGCTGGCGTCGTTGGTTGTGAGTTAAAAATCGAGAAAGATAGAAATTGAATAACCTTAAATCTTGCCGAATTCCGGGTTCCAGTAAGAACCAATTCAGTCTATTGGCATAGAAAATAGGTGTTTTACCACGCAGCCATGCGTCTGTTGCCAAATACAGTCGAAATATGCTTCGAAATGCAGTGTAAATACCTTTTATGTTTTAGAAACACATGTGTACTATGTACAGGCTTCACAATAACGCTAAGATTGCAGAAGTATTCCGTGCTACAAGCGTACATTGCCATCGAAAATTCGGAACATGTGATTGTCACAACGACATCGTGGTTAAAAGCTGGCCACCAAATAAATATGGCACGGACGTTACTGCGTGCATTCCCTTAAAAACACATAGAACGTGCATAAAAGTTCGAAAGTATTTGAGGCACATATTTTCTCGAGGTATAAAACTTGCTAACCATTACACAGTATGCAGCCATATGTGAAGGCTTTCCCGACAAAAGGCACTTAATATTTTTTATTTGTTAAGTTGTAGTTATCCACAAGTTTAACTTCTAGAATATTATAATACAATATAAAGTACACACCAAGTGGTTGCAACACTAGCATCAGAATACCTTTATCGCGATCACGGCGAAGCTGAAAGGAGCAGTGACAACAAATTTCGAAGTCGACATGCGGCGTTGATTTGACTGGTTAGTATGCATGAATTCTTTAGTGAAGTATGAATCACGTTCCTTGCGTAGAAGCTATTTTATCTTAGGAGCACAGATCGTTCAAGGCTCGTGGACGCGTTTCCAGCCATAGGGCATGGACAGTATTTCGACGTGTTCAGCAAACTCCATGGCCACACCTTAGGAGCCAATTGACGATGAGCGAGCAGTGGCGACGTTGACAATGTTAGTGGTGTCATCACAGTGCCGACAGGTAGTATCGCCTGGCGGCGACACCTTGCTGACTAGCAACAACTTCACTTAGTTTGTTTTGTTTGATTCGTGCATCACGTCCGTGTGAAACCCGCACGACGAGGCAGCTGGAGACGCACGCTTGGGCCATGCTGGCTGGTAATACATATGAACGCTGCGTGCGTGTTACTTCTATGCGATGACCGAGTTTCATATAACCACATTCATGCTCACGACTCTACGACAAATCATCCGAAGTGGCACAATGTGAACATAGCGTAGCCGGAGTATTCGACCATTTTATATTGAGTCGGTACCCTTTCGATCGCAAAATACAGCACAGGTAAATAGAAGAACATATGAACAGTGTGTCAAGTACATCGCTCAGAACAGAAACTGGCTACTTGCTCGTGGGCTAGAATTTAGTGGCTGGGGGCGTGTGAGCTTCTTTTGTAAGACATCCACCATACTCACTTTATTGCTTAGTATCCTATAACAAATGTTTCCTTGTAACGCTTTCTCTCACCTTGATGTCTCGTGTATTTTTGTACGATTGTTTATATTCCCTTTTGCCCATTCTTTCAGGCTCCAAAATTGCCGTGCAGACATTGACTACGCAAGTCATGAGGAATAGCAACGTCACCATTTGGGACATTGCCCTACCTGCGTGCGCGTCAGCAGGACCGTTGTGGAGTGACTCGTATTTACGTTGCTTTGTACAGCACACTTCACTCAGTGGTTGGCATCCTTGTTGCACCGCGCCCATGGGTACGCATCCTCAGGCTGTGCTGGATGCGAGGCTCAGGTGCGTAGCTTAGCTATTATAAGCTAAATATTTCTTCGTGAGCCAAAAGACAGTGACCATGCCTATCTATCTATCTATCTATCTATCTATCTATCTATCTATCTATCTATCTATCTATCTATCTATCTATCTATCTATCTATCTATCTATCTATCTATCTATCTATCTATCTATCTATCTATCTATCTATCTATCTATCTATCCACCTGTCTATCTATCTATCTATCTATCTATCTATCTATCTATCTATCTATCTATCATCTACCATGGAATGCGTTTCAACAGTCGCAGTCGCGCGTAAGTCCTTCCCGCATGCCGTGACCCTCACCTCACCCCCTTTCTGGGTATGCGGATATGCGTCACATGGGATTCACAGTTTATATAAATCCAAGCAGCCGTAATGCTCACGCCACAGCGGGAAGCAGCTCGTGTCGCAGAAAATGCGTTGCTGGCCAGGCGCCGCCTGATCATTCGGAGAAATATTACCGTGGACAAAAATTACGGCTAGAGGAGAAATAGATCCCAATTAGTAAACATCAAAGTCAACTATTTCTTGACACATTCAATGCAGTACTTCAGACTGCTTCAAAAATGCACCCTATGTAAACATAGTGCCCTTAAAGTACGTCCTGTGATTTGCACTTCTGACATATCTCCCTTCATGTGAATATAATAAACACACCATATATATACCCAACTCCACGAGCTGCAGTCAAGTATAGCGCAAATACGACTGTCAGCAATACTTACCTCAAAATCTTCATCGAGTCGACACGTGCTTTTTATGTTAAAAGTAACTTCTGCGTTTTAACTTTAGTTAATAGATTGCATCACATCATGAGCTATCTTTTCCAAGCCACTGTGTTGTGCGGGTATGACCCAAATTTCTCAGTTTACGGAAGGAAGTCGATCCACCATGCAATAAATGGCACCAAGAGAGGAAACTCCAACACAGGCTGTCTAGGTCTGTTGTAATCAATGGTCAGATTAGAAAGAATCTGTCGTATTTTCTTTTTTTTCACACATTGCGCCTGTCGTCTGAAGTGATGTAACTTCATATATTACCACAGTTCGAAGTTTTCATGGACGAAGCTCCTTAAGGCGTCACCCGTTCGCCCCCGTTATCGTTTGTAACCACCGGAGGCACATACCCGCTCTCTCAGGCACATATCCGAATGTGCACATGTACGGAAAACGTAACACGGCGTCGTTATCACGCTCTCAGTGTTAACAAGACGCTGACAGCAGAAATGTGGTACATTTTCTCATTTAGTCCTCGGATTGTCCGCTGGATGGCGGTACTTGTATATGATGAATATATGATGAAATAAGCGAGATGGCTGTACCTAAGCTGTTCAATAGATGGAAGGACAGACAGGCAGAGAAGTAGACGGACAGACAGACACACGGACGGACCAACAGACGCACGAAAGAATGCATAAACGGATGGGCGCACGAATGGCTTCACGTGCGGACAGACAGGCACATGTACGGAAGCACGGACGCATTGACGAACGCTTCGCCCCACTCATCATCATTCATTCCGTAGATATGCTGTCAATTTTCGAAGTATGATATTTTTCATTGAATAGTGGAAGCAGAAACTTTATGCACAATTGAGATATCAGCACATCGCAGAAATAGTGACAGTGCCATTGCCGATGTTTTCACCAAGTGTAAAAAACTCGGCAAAGTAATTCGGAACGTAATTGAAGACTTTAGTTTCAGAGAGCTGATGCTTCACTTGGCAAACAGAAAGTGAGAATATTGAACTAATTAGGGAAGCGAACACATCGTTTTAAAATGAAATATAAGTGTACAGCACCTTTGAGTAACTTTCTCTATGTGTGTCTAACTCATTATCACCCTTCTTTAAGTCTAATAATAAAATTATCTAGAAAAACTCACCAATCCAAAAGAACAGGTATTTTGCTTGGTTTTGAAGACATGACAAAGTACATACATAGTTTAACACCATCATTAAAGAGAGTCAGAGCAGAGGATATGAAACACCCTGCTCTATTCAAAATTTTGTATTGACTGAGGATAAAGTTTCAGAACGTCCGAAGTAACAGTAATAATTGTTTTATTGAACTGAACACATAATTTGCTAAAGCTTTATGTGTTATCGCAGAAAAACGAAGACGAAGTGCACGGACTTCAAATCGAAATAAATCTATTTCACTTCGCATAATCAAAATGTATTTCGAAATCATTTCTTGTCTCACTCAGGGTTTTTTTTTGTCTGTCTCCCTTTGGAGCGGGTGAGGAAACAACAAATCCACGCCACGTGCTAAAGTTGTTCGACTGCTGATCGGAGATAGGACTACGCCTGATCAACAATATTACAACCACTGTCCCTCTATACTTTGACGTTCTTTTCCAGCGGCCCGGTCTGTAAAGACATGGAGCTCACCCGTGATAAGTGTAATGACCATGTTCCCGACGGACAAGTGCTGCCTCTCTTGCAGCTTCAAGTAACAGTCTTGAACGCAGGCCGAGGCGTTCCTCGCAGCGAGCGGCTCGTTACTGGTATTTCGTGGACCATTCGTGCATTGAGATGCCAGATGGTCTCGGCCGTGAGTATAAGTAAGATTGGAGTGCTCTACAGTTGTTGTCTGCCTCTACCACCCTCGGGATTGTCCGCTGCTTCAACGCCTTGCTTTCATTCCCGTTAGCCATAAATGGCCACCTCACAAGCACTCACATTTTCATCGGTCCACTGGAGAAGATCTCCGACGTCCCGGCTCTTTCACTCTTAGAAATAGCGCAAACATTGCTTTGCAGTTCTCAAAACACTGTTCCGCCCGATATCAGACTTATGACTTCCTCGCACGATGCGCTTCTCTTCGAGCGGCAGATTCACTCCCAGTAGTTTTCTAGCCGCGCGAAAAAACTGCTGTGGTGAATCATTGTCCTAAGGTTCTCCCGTCCTGAACTTCTTTCGGAAGCCTTCCCCCGTCAGGCAAAAACTTAGTAGGAGGGCCCGGCAAATCTTCTCGTAGACAAGTGCCTCTGGAGCCTGGCATGCGGCTGATTATTGTCAGAGCTTCCCTCGTCCGGCTTGTACAGAGAGCCGTGGACCATTTGTTCGGTGGCCATCCTCACACTTCATCCACCCGCTCAAAACGCCTCAGATACGCGTCCAGGTCATTAATTTTTCGTTGTACGTCTCAAGTCACCTCTGTGCGCCCACGCCCACGAGTTGTGTTGATACTGCGGCTGCATTCGATATGCTATAGCAGCCTTTACTGTTGCTCGTGCACTCACTCCTGGCGCCCAGTAGCTCCATCTCCTTTTTCATGTCGGCGAGGTGCCAGTCGGACCACGATTTGTCGCGTTGATCGTCCTCGGGCCATCGCTCTCTCCCGCATTCTTCATCCTCACGCTTTCGCACGCGGTGCGCTGCTCACTCCTCCTGCAAAAATCCTTAAAGCGCCGTCCCCTCGAGGCTGAGCTATTTCCCTACAGGAATCTGGCGCTCGTCGTCCTCGGGACATCACGGCTCTTGTCAACTGTTAGCGCAACGAGTATTTCCGTCACCTTTTCCCGATGGCCACGTATTATCTTGGTCAGCCAGTCGTGTCGCGGACGCCAGTTGTCAAGGATCAATACGTATTCGGTGTAACATACCCGCCCTCTGTGTTTTGAGGGAGTGAGCAGACAACAAATACACGCAGCTTGCTAAAGTGCTTGGATCGCTGACCTGCGATAGGCACACGTCCGATCGACCACATGCCGAGCCAAGGGTCGGGAGACAACGGATATAAAAACAAATGCACAGGAATACTTAACTATAGAAACATGAATACACGCGGGACTGATAATGTATACATACTACGCGCGCTGGTCCTTCCTCGACGCACTCAGCGCACACTATGTGGTGACAATTTCTCCTCCAAAATATCGTGCTATACCGCTCGCTCAAAAATATAGTCAACGTAATACATAGACATTCGATCCGAACAAGTACACACAAAACACGAATCACAAACAATAAATAAAAAGTGGATGGAATACGATTATAAGAGTCCAGGTGAGGGAGGAAAGCCATTGATTGAGGCACGTATCGGCTGTCGGTACGTCGTCGAAGGCCTGAGCTGGTAGACTCGGGCTGCTGCTTCACTGTCGTAGGCTGCTGGTCGTGCGGCAGATCTTCGGGGTACACACCGATGCCGTAGGTTGCACACCCTCGAGCAACGAGTTCGACTACGAATGCAGGCTGCCGGCTACCACGTGGCCAGGTCTACGATATCTTGGACCCCACGCTTCTTCGGCTTGGCCAACTCTGTTCAACCCACCGTGGCAGCTCCACCGCTCCTGCCTCCCTCATCTCCCCTGTGCGTCTTGAGGCATCAAGTTGGTCTGTCGGTACTCAAAAGAGGTGTCGTTGACCACCACACCCCTCTGGCATTGGGTGCACTGACATAGACAGGGCCCGCGCACTCTCATCACTTGCTTCGCACACGCACTTTGTGAAACTCATGCTGTGACGTAGCAGCATCAGAATGCCATGGCTGGAAAATACCACACAAGATATTATCTTTACCTTTAAAGGTGAACGCATTGACTACACGAACATCTTCTTTAATTTCACTGCTACCGTAATAGATCGCTTCTAAGGGCATACCTACATCTTATTTTGCAACGATTTGTGTCAGTGCTTTTGTACAGGCCAATTACTGCAGTATATTGCACCAACGTACTCAGCCTCATACACAAAGTCCTGCTCTAACCAGTATATTTGAATTCGGCAATACATTTAGAAATATGCATTGTAACTGAAGGAACAGCTGTAACGGGGCCAGCAAAACCAATTTTCCCAGATATGCGTAATTTTTTTTTCATTCGCACATGAATGCAGGTATTTGTCCTTATTTTATTGCTTCTATGAAGTTTGTGTAAACTAATGAAAGGAATAACAAAATTACTGTGTGAAACGAATCTTGTATAGAACTTTTTAAGGCAGGTTTCGAAGCTTTTGAAGAAATGGGAAAAAAATATTCATTTTAGTGGAGCAGTGGTAAGTAGTGCGCTCTGCCGAACATCTGGGTCTCAAGCTTGAGTGTTACGCTTTTGCGCAAAGCCTTGTACAGGCTAGTCATTTACAGATTCACAATACAACAAATTGAAATGCTCATAAAAGAGCTTGTAGCAGTTTAGTACCTCACCTAGTAGTTTTTTATTACCGTGTGATGCACCAAACGAGTTAGGTAGTGATTAAACGTTTCTTATTGTAACTTTACATATATAAGCATAATGATAATGATGGGGATGGTAATTGTTAGCACTGCTATGAAAAGAAACGGGAGAGAGGTGGTTATCACCTAATCGTTTTGGTCATCCTGCATTGCACTATATATTTGTCTGACATCATGAATTTTTTTTACTTTCTACATCGAAAAGACAGCTTTCATTTCTCCACCATAAAAATGTTTTCAGGGTTCTTGGAGGCGTCAAACATCTACGTGTGGTGGATGCTTCATCGATGCCTTACCTTCCGGCGGGAAACCTCAATGCGCCGCTTATGATGATGGGGCATCGAGCTGCCGCCATGATCATGGAAGACAATTCAGCGTAAGAGAAAGAAAGATACATTTTTTAAAGAGGAATTCTAAGAGTGTTGCCTGAAATAGCCGCAAATCTCACGCAATGGAGTAGTCTCTGCATTGCGAACTCCTCAGAGATTCACACTTCAGATTGTTTCGTTCGAAACAAATCGATGTATTTCTGCCATAACAAGTTAATCACTAGTGAATGTGTCATTCATACATGCATATTTTAGTAATTACCATTTTATTGAAACCACAAGGGCTTAGCCATGCGTGTGACATGCTATTTGTGTTCTTCATGTTGCGACAAAAGGTATATTATGAGGAACCAGGTTTATTCAGCTAGGCTCGAGCTAAATCACAGTGGTGATAATATTTACAAAGAACGAAGATGTATAGGTGATGATGATTTAAAAAGAGAAAGAAAAGTCATTCACTTGTCGCGCTCACACTAATTCTCCGCGCGGGGGAAGCGGGCGCCTGCTCACCTGAGAGTATTATAAACCGCGTCACGTATAAGGCTTCAAACGAGATACATGCACTATATCTGTCCCGCGGAAAACGATGATCAGGATTTGTGCTAAGAAGAGAAACGCGGTAATTGACAGGACAGGTTAGTTCGACCACCGTGTACGCCCCAATAAAGCGACTGATGAACGTGTCGCATAAGACAGGGAGGTGCAGTGGAGTCCATGAAACACTTCGTCACCAGGGGAAAATTTCACAACATGCAAGACGAGTCGTAGCGAGACTTTAGGGTGTCTTGATAAAAGCCGGTATTAACGTGGGTCAGATGAAGGTCGTCTGCGAGACGAGATGAAAATTCTTCAGAGATAGAAGCTGTCGAGGGTGCAAGAGCCGAAAGAAGAGAGGCGTCCAGAGCGAAACTTGGTGAGCGACCGTGTACGAAAAAAAAATGAGAAAAGCCGGTAGTGCACTGAGCAGCCGTATTGTAAGCGAATGTCAGAAAGCATAGGATTGCCTTCCAGTTCATGTGGTTGGGGTGAATGTACATCGCAATCATGAGCGAGACGGTCCTATGAAAACGTTCAGTCAATCCGTTAGTCTGCGATTGGTAACTAGAAGTGGTCTTGTGAACAGTGTTGGAGGCACGGAAAACTTGGCAGACAATAGAAGAAATACTCTGCTACGATCACTCAGGAGAACTCGTGGTGCTCTATGGCGAAAAAAGATGTGGTGGAGGAAGAAATTAGCGACCTCAGTGGGAGTCCCAGATTGTATAAAAGCTGTTCTGCGTAACAGGTAAGGTGGACGACGGGCGTAACAATCCCACGATTCTCATTCGATGTTATAGGAAGAGGGCATATAAGTCGATTCCGACTACTTCAAAAGACGAGGCGGGACAAGAAAGAGGTTGAATTAAGCCAGCTGGAGCAGTTGTGGGTCGTTTTCGCCGTTGTCAATGGATACAAGAGGCGACGGACTTAGCGACCGCTGAAGAGGGGCCAGGCCAAAAACAATGACTTCATTTTTTGTCGTAATTCTGCTGATCGTGCAGATGTGATCGCCCAGATCATCATGAATAGCTTCCATAACTTCGCGTTGAACAGAACGTGGGATGACGGGTACCCGATTGTTGCCCTCAACATGGTAAACGTAGCGGTATAAAGCATCACCGTCAAGTCTAAATTGTTTAGGTTGTCGACGGAGTCGGGTGTTTGCGGAGGAGTACAGCCGGTCATGCGACCAACAATGATTTCACAGTATGGGTTGACACGTTGTTGTGAAACGAAGACGGATTGGGTATCGAGTGACGGTGAACATAGCACTGTATTTAGAGAGGCAGTGCCGTTGTTGGAGTAGCGATGGTGAGTGGCCTCCGCTAGGCACAGGACAGTGTGATAGAGCATCAGCATCTTGACGAATCTTTCCGGATCTGTAGGAAACGTCCAAATCGTACTCCGGCAGGTGAAGCACCCGGCGACAGAGGCGACCTGATAAGTTTTTCAGAGATGAAAGCCAGCATAGGGCGTTAAGGTCAGTAACCACGGTAAAGTTGTGGCCGTGGAACATATGGTCGAAATCTTTGCACTTCACAAACAAGCACTTCTGCTTGGTGATGATGTAGTTCTTTTCTGCCGCAGTAAAAACACGACTTGCATAAGCAACGATGCGTCTGCGCATGTTGTTGTCGCGCTGCAAGAGTACCGCATCTAGACCATGACTACTAGCGGCGTTCTGAAGGATTGTGGGTGCACTTGGATCAAAGTGGCACAGTAATGGATCCGACTTGAGGGCTCGATTCAATGATGTGAAAGCACTTTCGCAGTCTTTAGACCAAATGAAGGTGACGTTACTTGTGAGGAGTTGAAAGAGTGGAGACGCAAGTTCCGCGAAGCCTCATATAAAGCACCGCAAGTATGAAGCTAGCCCAAGGAAGCTGCGCAGGTATTTTTAACGTAGTGGACGAGGAAAGTCAAGGACGGCAGCAATCTTCTCGGGGACTGGCCGAATTTCTTCTTTGCTGACTTGGTGGCTGAGAAGCTTGATTGTCTTGCTTGGAAATGTACATGTCTTGGTACTAAGCTGTAGACCGGTTTTTGCAAGGCATGCGAGGACTTCGTCAAGACGCTCCAGGTGCTGCCAGAACATGGATTAAAGCACTAATTTGTTGTCGAGATAGCACAGACATGTTTTGCATTTCAAACCACACAATACGCCGTCTATCATGCGTTCGAAGGTGGGGGTGCATTACTGAGTCCAAAAGGCATCACAATGAAGTCCCCCAACCCATCTGGCAATAAAAAGGTGGTTTTCTCTTTACCAGACTTCGACAATTGTATCTGCCAATAGCGTGACCTGAGGTAGAGGCTAAAAAATAGTCGGCAACGTGTAATAAATCCAGTGCGTCGTCGATCCGAGGCAGACGATTGAGTGGCGGTGATGTTGACATTGGGAGATCGTTGTGGTTGTTGTTCGGCCGAGTAACGATCGCAACATGCTGAATGTCACCCACGCAAGATACAGTTCAGCCACAGGGGACTAGTACAGGCTCGGAAGTTTGATTTAAAGAGACACTAATGTCAAACAACAATTTACGTCAGAGTGAAAGCTCAATGTATGACAACATCTAAAACATCAATATTATCAATAACGCCACGCTACGTACTGAGAAATTAAAGTAAATGCACAAGAACAGAAGCGCCGCAGTAGGACATTTTCAAAATGATCCCGATGACATCACACAGACCGCCTATAGTCAATCACTAGTAATCAATCTAACTGCATTATAAAGGACGTTCCGGGCATTAGGAGACGCAATAATATGTTGCTTGTTTGTTTCTGTTTGACTCATGGAAAAAAATCGCCAGATGTTACTATGGAGAATGTTGCGAGTTGTTTGAAAATTCAATTTTTGCGTGGTTACACGGGACAAGTGTTGCTTCTAGTGGGGTCCAGTTTAACAAAAACGTCTGCAGTCTCGAAGCCAATGGCTTGAAATTGATTAATGGCCGTTGTTGCTGCCGTGGCTCCCGCTGCTTTCAGTCTGCCGCTACTAGCGCAGTAAAGCTGGGCAACGTTGTGCATGGCAACAGTGACGTGAGACGGTCTGGTCGGTCCGCCTCTTGAGGCGGGTAATTTGAAGTGCACTAACCCGATGCGGAGCACTAAAACGTGATTTTATTTCAAATTAGGCCTTTTCTTGGCATAAAAGCAACACTATGAGGTTTCTGAACCGCCATTTCAACAATCTACGTCGAGTTAATAGTTGACTTTAGTGACCCTTTAAGGCGGGAAGGTATGGCAGACTAATAAAAAGCGAACAAGCCCTGGTGTGATTACAACGCGCCTACATAGGGTATGACCGTAAGGGAGATTCAAGTACGTCACAATCCACAATTTCGGTGCAGTTAACGTTTATTTTTCCTTGAATGGATGGCCGAAGTACATAATCTGACGTGGTGACAAGGTGAATGCGTTCGTCATGTTCAAGGGGTGAAGAGTCAGTGGTATGTAGATGTAGAAGGCGCTGATGACAAGATATGGAAGGGTACGCAGAAGACAAAAAACCACCCTGGATTGAGACCTTGGGTGCACTTATGGAATACCACAAAAATGATGTAATGATGAATGCCTTCTATGCAGACACGAGCCACACTATGCGCACATGAACGAATGAGAGCGTTGGTCACCACACGGAGAAATGGCCGCCATAAGACGTGGTCACTTTTCGGAGAGGCGGGAACAAAAATTAGCACGAATAATCAAAACGGTGGCACAAGTGTCTACGAGAGCCTCAACGCGTACACCTTCTACAAACTCTACTATCAAGTTTGAAGGCCGCTCTGGAGGAATTCTCAGCTGTCTGGTGGATGTACTTTCCCCTCCTAAAGCTGCATCGGAGAGTTTTTCGCGTGGGCGTTCGTGGAATTGGAGGCTGGTCACAGAGGCGACACTAAACGGCGACCTGGAGAAGGCGACCTTGAGTGAGACGTACGGGAATTCACAGGCATGTCAGTATGAAAGGTAGGAGACGGTTAACGGTGATAGGACGAGCGGGAGGGTGACAATAGGTAGTTATTGGTCGGACAGAAGCTTCGACGTTCTTCAGGAGCGTAGCCGCATGGCTCGTCTTGTTAACGCCTTCGACCAAACCAGGCGATATGTCCTCAATAGCCACAGTAGTAAGAGATGGGCCGAAGAGAGCGCTGAGGGGCGTATTAAGGCGGTGCACGCCCTGGCGGTAAAAACGAAGGCACAGGTGTGTGGTCTCCTGGTGCAGGTAGAGGAACGGTGGGTGCGGCAGAGAGCGCGGCAACTTCGGCGTACGTTTGCATCTGGCGCACGCACGGACCGTTCAAACAGGTCGGACGCGACGCGGATGCGATATCTCTCGTAATGCAGGTCTCGCAATCCATTTTTTTTTCATAAAGGATAGTAACTTCCGCAGAGCAAGAAGAGCAGCGCCCATGAAGCTCTTCACGAACGATGTCGCGAATGACTGCACGCAAGTCGAGGGGTTCAGGCGGACGAACATCGGTGGCGTCGTAGCAGAGGTGAAGA